CCACTGACAGCCTTCCCAGGGCATGTGTTGTCTCTTTTGCTTCAAGTGCACAGCAGAGACTGCTAATTAAACTGAAGTTTACCACAACAGAGCATAGGCCTGCTGTCATCAACTGGTTGTGATATTTAACTGTAAGGGATGGCACTGTGTCTCTCTTTTTCATTCACTTTTAATTGGACTGAGTTAGGAACTGTTTCCCAACATTTCGTTCTTCGGAATCATCTTTCCCACCCTTGATAGAGTGTGCACAAAATTTGAGGATTCTTATCCTTACTACAAAGTTGCACTCTTGTGGACATTTACCTGACACTCAGAGAAATGATCTCCTTTCACGTCTTCTGCATTTACTTTGGCAACTGTATATGATCCCTCTTTGGGAGACATCAAACATTTAAAATCTGCCACACTGCTCATCAAACAGGAATGCAGGGATAAATGTAGATTTGTTCATATGTGTATACACTACGCCTGCTTGAGACTTGAACGGGATATACAATTTCCCATTTATCCATCTACAAATACCAGGTAATATTAAAGATATTATCTTTTATACTATCTTAAGGTGATCCTCAAGGAAACATTCTGAGATAATGTTGCAGGAAGCAAAACTAAAAACTGTCATCTAACTGTCAGAAAGTTTATAACAAACGCAGTAAATATCAATGACTAAGTGTATAGTCCATAACCTCTTACATTTGTATTTCCATATTCATTCATAGATATCAGAAATAAGATACTATTTTTGATATTATTGTTTTACCTAGAGTTAAAACTGTCACTTTAAACTTTTTTTTCACTTTTATTGTTAGTGATACAATTTCTTGGTACAAAAACATCAGCTATTGTTCTAATGAGTAAACGGAATTGTGGGTGCATTCATGTGCATTTATAGGTAAGCACCACTTTGATCCATAAAGATGAAATGACAATTTTATATCTCCTTTTGCTTTTATGTGAAACTAATCAAATTACTTCCAGAAACTAAAGGCTCATCAGTATTCATTATTTTCTCCATAAAATTCTTCCCCTAACCAAGTCCAGATCAGGACATGAACTGCAGAAACACATCGTGGCTTCTTTCTTTCACATCGTGAACTTTCTTTATTGGGACACTAAGGTCACCCTCAGAGTAGTGAAGTTAGCACTCTAGTATAAACAAAAAGGAAAAAGAAATACATTTTTTCCACTATACTGTGAGGTGGGTTTGACCTGTTTTATTGGCTTGCTGTATTCTATAAAGCTGCCATTGAACATAGCTGGGCCATAACAGCATAATTTCACTTGAAATATGTACCCAGCGCCATGAAGACAAATCAGTGTAAGGAACATTTTGCTCAATAAGTCCTATAGCATGCGCTGCCTTCCTTGAAGCAATAATTTTGATGTCTTTTTTCCTAATGGGATCAATGTAACCCAGAAATCATAACATAACTTGTGCGGTAAAGCACATAAAACAGTTCTGAAACAAGCAAGCCTAAAGAAAAACATGTTTTACCATGCAAGTCCTGGTAAATTTATTTAGGATCAGCACAATTATGCAGAAGACAAATACTGAGGTCCAAGCTACTCTATCACAATGGTATCAACCTTTAGCTCTACTTTTTGAAGGAAGAGAAAATAACTGACACTATGCCTTTAGGATTTTTACTGAAAATTTTATTATCATACTGGAAAATATTGAACCTCATGAAGCTCCTAGGTTATCAGAATATGAGCAAAGATGTCTAGTTTAAAAATTAGTCAAATTTAAATAAAGTCGGCTTAGTGAAGTAGCTGTCAAAAATGGTCATTTTATCTTAGATATTTTATAAAAGAGTTATTTTTTTTTCCAAAAGGTAGATTGAATTTATGGAGAGAAGGAGAGACAGAAAGATCTCCCCAAATGGCTACAATGGCCCAAGCTGAGCTGAGCTGAAGCCAGGAGCTTCTTCTAGTTCTCCCATTTGGGTGCAGTTTCTCAAGGCTTTGGGCCATCCCAAATGATTTCCCAAGTCATAAACAAGGAGGTGAATGGTAAGGAAATAGCCAGGACAGGAAGTGGTGCCCATATGAGATCTTGGTGCTTTCAAGGTGAGGATTTAGACTTTGAGCCATCCAGTTAGGCCCTAAACTTAGATTCTTGATCAACTACATATTCTCCTTAGAAATTAAGCTAATGATTTTCCTAAAATTGAATCCTATATTTTTATTAAATACATTATGTCTAGGAGTAAAGATCTGTATGGTTCCACATGTGTGATCAAAATATAAGCGTAGGGCCCAGCAGGTGGCCTAGCCCCTAAAGTCCTTGCCTGGAATGCACCAGGATCCCATATGGACATTGGTTCTAATCCTGGCAGCCCCGCTTCCCATTCAACTCCCTGCTGTGGCCTTGGAAAGCAGTCGAGGATGGCCCAAAGCCTTAGGACCCTACACCCACGTGGGAGACCCAGGAGAGGCTCCTGGCTCCTGGCTTTGGATTAGGTAAGCTCCAGCCACAGCAGCTGCTTGGGGAATGAATCATCAGCCAAACCTTCCTCTCTCTCCTCCTCTCTGTATATCTGACTTTCTAAAAAAAAAAAAAGATAAATCCTTAAATATATAGGTATCTAGATAAATGTATATATATATATATATACATTCATATATATATACTTGCATGTATGAGTATTATTCACAATGGGTCAAGAAAAAGAATTTCAAATTTATGGCTTTTCCCAGCTATTATTTTCTATTCCAAATGTCAATGAATAGAAAATTACTGTTCTTAGCTTTCAGAAGCTAAGTAATATATGCCTGTATACCCTAACACACACACACACTCACAGAGTTGTCTTTATATGTCTAAAAACTGAGCTATACCTAACTTTTCATCCAAAAAGGATAAAAAGGCTCTCAAATGCTTCAGACATAAATATTTAAGAATGTTCATTTGTTAAATTAATTTTGACCTGTTCAAGTAGCTTATGAAGTGGAACAAGTCACAGAAAATATTTAGAAATACTCACTTGTAAACTCAGATAATGTAATGGTAACTGTTATGGTTGTTTTTTGATAAGTATGGTATTTATGGAAGAGAAGTAGTAGTAATGATAAACTGGCTGATAGTTTCTACACAATTTTATTACATTCTTTAGTTTCTGACATATTACTCTTTATGGGAAATGAAAACAAAAAATTATCTGAACTATGCAAATTTGTAAATGAGCTAAACTTCTATAAAATAGTGGTTAAACTTTCATGTTTGAATAACTTGCTCCATATTTTCTCATTCTATGAAAAAATGTTTAATTTATTCCTTAATCTACCTCTTCCAAATGTAAACTTTGATAGAGCAGAATTTCAATTTGATGCATTATTATTTCTTAAAAGCCTCCTGTGAATGTTTTTTTCATTTCAGCTAGTATTTGACAAATTTCACAGAATTATTTTTCAAGCCAAATTAAGAAACATGGATGGGAGTAGACATGGTTCAAATGCAGATGTACATGATTTGATTATCATGCCACAAGAATATCCATCATGGAAAAGATGGCCGATTGGGCCGTGTTACATGGAACTGCCAGCTCCCGTTGTGCTCTGGACTTATTATTTGAAGAAAGGTACAGGGTAGTGTTACAATGTATTAAGGTGACATAAAGCTAGGAGCTATTCCTCTGAAAAGCAACATTCAAATGCTTTCAAGAAAAGAGTATTTCCAATAAAATGCTATTCAGGACTCAAATTTGGCAGATGGAAATTAACAAGTACTTATATTCTTATTCTATTGTTTAATAAGGCAACTGCATAGTAACAGGATGAGCATAGGTTTGACTTGGCAGAATTTTTCATGAAAACAAAACACTGGATCATTTAATTGGCCACAGGTCAGTACAAGTCAAAAGTCAGAAACCAGACAAAGCATCACTGGCTCCACCTTAAACTGCTATAGAAGTGCACTGTTGCCGGTACAGGACATGCTTGCTCTGTATTAACCTGCTCTAAATAAGGCCACATATGTCCAGCTCCATTTCTGAGTAGGAACACCAGCTGTTGGGGCTGGGGTAGGGGGAAGTGTCAGGCATCTGCATATCATAAAAAAGGTAACAGACCTGTGATTTTGCTAATCCAAGCTTAACCTTGGTAAAATACACAATGTAATCCTGGACATTTGAAAGATTCTAATGCATTTAAACAAAGACACTCATTTGCTAAAAAGGACAAATTAGGAATAGTAACTAGCAATGCTCACAAACTCATTTGGAGTTACTGTAGGGGGACATAAGAAAGGATATGTGGTCCAGAATCAGAAGCCTAATTCTAGCAGGCATCCACACCCCTTTATCATAGAATCCTCACATGTAAACAGCAGAAAATGATCATACCTGTTCTGGTTAACTCAGACTCTTTTTGAACAATTACATGTGAGAGCACACACACATATTCCGAGACTTTAAAATAATTTTGAACATAATAAGGTCCCCACTGTTCAAGACGAGTCATCACTGAGCAGCACAAACTCCTTTTACCAGCACAGTAGGAGACTCAGCTGGACCGCAGTCCATGATTATTGCTGTATACTCAATTGAAACAGCAAAGTATTCACTTCTTGCCTATTTTATCTCAGTAATGGAAGTACACTTGTGAAGAATCACTAACGTCATTAATTTAATTTGCTAAAGAATGCAGTTAATGTCCACAACCTCCAGAGAATTGATGAAAGGTGTTGAACTTTCATGAAGATACTCATCAACTTTCCCTCCCCCCCCAAAATAAAAACCTGAAAATATGCTCTAGATCAAATTAAGGCTAATTCATTCTACCTAAACAATAGCTCTGCACTTGTGCTGCCAATTATGAGAACACATAGAATATCCTGGATTGTAAAACTCTTGAAAACTCAAATCTTAAATTTCAGCCTTTGGATACTCGATACTCTCCATATGTCTAACTGCTTGCTACATTGTGGTTACATTTCTACCAAGGTTTGAAAAAGAAATAACCCCTTAGTAATGCCTACCAGTTGTCTCAAGTTTACTTACCCTCTGACCTTCTTTTCCTGGTGGCCCTTGAGGGCCTTGCATACCCGGGGAACTCTGTGAAGAAAACAAGACACATGTTAGTAGACTGTTTCAAGTATATCTACTTCACCACAAACATTGTGAAAACTAATATTTATTAATTAAGCCAACTTTTAAAATGATTTGATTCTTCATTAATAATGATGATTTTCACTTTTGTGATCTATCTTTATAACTAACTCCAGAAACCAACAACAACAACAACAAAACCCAATTCCAAACCAGGTATGAGATGAAATATTTACTCCTAGTGAATTACAGAAGTGAAACCATACTACAAAAAAAATCATAAATAAATGGCAACAATATTTGTAAGAAAAAAAAGGTCTCTGGGAAAACTAAAGAAAACTACATTTTTGGTGGAGAGGAGCTTTATTATTGTCTTCTAATAAAACACATTGATTTATAACGACTTTTAGCATCATAAAAGTCATTGAAAACTTTTTCAAAGCACTGTCAAATGGTATGGAAAGTGGTCATTTTTTTTTTCATATTCTAAAACTGTCTAGGCACCCTTAAGTGTCGTTAACTTGGAAGTCAAGTCTCCTGGTACAGGAATTCCAAGACATCTAAGTGTGGACGATTTCAGGTTCATTTTTTTCTTCAGTCCACATTTGTTTACCATTATCTCATATACCTATGGGCCTGGGATTTTTGAAGTCAATGATTCCCAGATTCCTAAGCCCAGTTTATCCTCCGAGATGCTGGACAGTTGCCCCTCAGTTACTGCACAGGCATATCAAACACTGACCTCAGGATCAGCTCTCCCAAGCTGGGTGCTCCCCAGCAGTCCCCACTCAATAAAATTTGTTAAAGATTCATATTATTCTAAAAATGGTTTTTACTTTATTATTATTTTATTTCAATAATCTTTATGTAGTTGATTAGGGCACAAAGTGTCAAGGACTACGGGGAAGTGGCTAAGACCATTGTTTTCATGTGATTACTTTTTCTAGATCTGGGGTAAGAGAATAAAGGAATATGCCCCACCCAGTCTCCCAACCCAAAGTACGGCATGCTCTGAAGATCCTGCCCAAGTGGTTTTGATAGTCCAAAAGTTCTGAATTGCTGCCAATCTCGCCATTCCAAGCACGATGAAATCTCCCCAGGATCCACTGGCTGACACAGCCTACTTAGAGTCTCCGTTAGCCCAGATTTTCACTGCCAACACATTGCTGGGGTAGATGTTGATTTGTTCTGTCTTCCATCCTGTTGTGGTACCAAGTGTCCTCTGCAAGTTCCAATAGACTGCCCTATCCTCCTTGTGCACTTGGATTTGCTGTCTACTGTTCCATCAGAGTCTCTGAGGAGGCTCGTCTTTGACATTTGCATCCATGGTCAGACCATGGAATCTCCCCTTCTCTTCATGGTTGTGGTTCTGAGATCAGCAATTCAGTTGGAGGGATCCTCAAAGAAGCTTAATCTGAGGTGATCCCAGACCTTATTCCTGTGTATGCCTAGCAGTACAAGGTCCAACAAAATCTGTCACCCCAATGAGCTTATGGATATGTTGGTGGTTGCAATACTCAATAAATTCATGCAGCACCCTGCTGGTTCTATTGCCAGAAGTCTAAAAGTCATTAATCATCATCCTCTCCCTCAATATATCCTCACACTCGGTAACCAAATGTGTTTGATCTCTAAAGTGTATTTGGATCCACTATTTCTCTGTATCCCTCCTGTGCCTAATGCTCACTTCCTGATTCTTCCCAGGAATGCCCTGTTTTTTCTTAGAGTGCCCTGTTTTTATCTGCAAAGTACTTAACACAAATTCATTTAAATGATGACCCATGCAGTATTGACCTGTCAATGAAAACAATTCATACTGGAAAGTCAATACACTTTAATTACAGTTACCCCAAATGTAGAGGCTTTAAAGATTTTCTAAATATTTATAATGAACCTATTATATATTAAATGACTCTGATGGTTTGGAATAATCTAGTAGTTTGAAAACATCATGATACATGTTAAAATAAGTCTGAATCAATCTTAACTTCAGAAGGAATATTTTGTCATTCAATTTTAAAAATGATGAGCATTCATTTTTACAACATGTTTTCTTTAAAAGCCATGGCTCCCTTTAAATCAAAATACCAGATGTGCTTATGATGATTGTTATCACAAAACACATTTTTACTTTTTATAAAGCTAAGTGCTAGTATCTTTTACATAATGTTGTCATATGTTTCATTTAAAATTATTCTTACTTACCTTAAAGATAGAGAATTTTTCATTTATTGCTTTACTCCCCCAAATGCTTACATCAGCAAGGGCTAGGGTAGCACAAATCCAGGACCAACAAATTTCATCCAGGTCTCCCATGTGGGTGGCAGAGGCCCAGCATTTTAACCATCACCTGCTGCCTTCACAACTCATTAGCAAGAGCAAGGCACTCTGAGCTGCACACAAGCACCCAACTGGTGCTCAAACCACGATGTGGCACAGTCTTATCTCTTCATGTATTTTTACTTTGAATAAATAGACATTTTAGGCTTTCAGTCAGACAGTTTTAACTTGAGCAAAGTCAGAATGCAGTATTAACTATTATTAACTAACTTTCAACAATCATTATCATAATAATTCTGCATGTGTTAATTCTCAGTGTTCCCCAGTTCTTTGTCTTCTCCACAAAAGATGAAAAAAACTGTATCTGGTTCACCTTCCTGCCTTTTATTTATTTTTGGAAGAATTTATTATTTTGAGACATACATAGAGATAATGTTTCAGCGATTTAGGCAGGAACATCAACAGGAAATAAAAGAGTAATCAGTACTATTTGTAGTTCTTTAAAAAAGAAAATTACCAAACGATAATCAAGAAAAGTTGGCTAATTATATAAGCTTTACTATGATCAGTTGCTAATGTGCATGAGAAAAACAAATGTCAAAATCCAAATATTCCAAAGTATTAATTATAACTATGGAAATTTGTACCATTTTTAACAAAATTGAAAGAATTTTGGTTCTAGATGAAACTTTTCCCTTTCATTATTAGGAAAACCATTATCACCTTTTTTGAATAGTTAGAATAATGTATAACATTTTTGATATTCATTCAAATGCTGATAATTTCTTGACAATTTTTAAACATGAATTACCAAAACATATGGACATCAAACAAAATCAAGATAGTATGCTTGATTCTGATAGACACTGGAGCAAAAAATCTATTCCTTCTAGTAGTTGAAGTTGTTCCACTCTTAACCTAAGTTAAGAGTGTTAAATCTGATTTGGAATGTATTCAACAGAAAGTAAAATGTTGCGTGCAAAGTCAAAGCAATAATGAAAGGCACCAACTCTCCTCCATAAACCTAAGAGTCAATGTACCCTTTTTCTTTTGCCACGTCTGAGATTAGCTAAGTGACGGAAAATTTGGAAGTTCTTTTTTTTAAAAAACTATTTTAAAAATTTAATTGAGAGGAAAGAGAATAGAGTGGGAAGAGGGAAGAGAGAAACAGAGAGAGGAAAAAAGGAACAGAGAATGGGGAGAGAAGGGGAGAAGGGTAGAGTGAGAGAGGAAGAGAGGGAGGAAGGGAAAGAGAAGAAAGATCTCAATCTTCACTGCTATTTTATTTCCAAGTGGCTGCAACAGTTAAGGGCTGGGCCAGGTTGAAGCCAGGAGCTCTTCCTGGTCTCCCACATGGGCGCAGGGTCTCAAGGCTTTGGGCCGTCCTTGGCTGCTTTCCCAGACCACAAGCAGGGAGCTGGATGGGAAGCAGAGCAGCCGGGATTAGAACCAGTGTCCATTTGGGATCCTGGTGTGTTCAAGGTGAGGACTTTAGTGGCTAGGCCACTGCACCAGGCCCTGTGATCACTTTTAAATCCCAGCCATTTTCCTAATATCCAGACCATTTTGATCTGTCTTTATTAAATATTAGTTGCAATTTACCACGCAGAAAATAATTTTAATATTATCATCAGTAAAACACTTATCAGAAAAAAATTTTTCACAAAATAAAAAATTAAAATTTGGGGATGCTCATTTACTGTTATCCAGGCCACTACTCCCATTTAGTAAAGGCAAGTGCTTACTAGGAACATTAGGGATTTTATGTCAGCTCCAGTTTATCTGATTTAACCTTGGACAGAGCTCAAGAATTGCATGAGCTCTCTTTTCCAAGTCTTTGTTCTTCTGGCTTTGGGAAGGGCAGATGTGTGTACTTTATGTATCCTCCATCGCTTGTAGGTTGTAGAGGATAGCAGCTCTTTTTTTTTATGCTCTATCACACTTCTTGACAGGACTAAATGAAACTTGTGAAACAATTATGGGTTTTGGCATCAAGAAACAGGCTTCATTTTAATTTTTAAAAATTAGGTTTTAAATACAGTATTGAAAAATGTTCAGTATTACCTGTTTCGTCGGTGTGAAATGGCTATTCCACTCCCTGATGTCCAAGAATAAAATCACATTATGGCTCATTTACAAATTATTTTTCAAATGTGTAATATGTCTGCTATAGAAATTATTCATACTTTCATTACTTGTTATTATACAAATTTATATTTTTTTCTAGTTACTGAATCTTAATATTTTCATAGTCTGTGCACTTTTAAACTTAATTTTCTAAGAATATCTATGTTTTTCTATGTTCCCCTGAGTTTGCTATAAAAGGTGCCCATTAGGGCATTTCTAAAAATTTATAAATGTACAGGTTTCTCACTTTCTTGAAAGAGAAGCTTGAGAACATATTTAGGGTATTCACTATATATAAATCTATCTGTGTCTATGTAGGCGTTCATTGTTCTGTTTTTAAAAGTGGGATTCTGGATATCAAAAATGTTGATGAAGAATGGAATTTATAAGGCTGCTACTTCTTTTGGTTGGGATTGAACTATGCAAAACACCCCAAAGCCAGCCAAAGCATTCTAAGTTCCAGTGAATAGCCATTACCATGTGTTACTTTTCACACGGCTCTCTCTGGACAATCTGCTGATTATTTAAGACAAACAAGAGCTTATCTTCATGGAAGCCATGTAAATATTTAACTGAGAAATTACTTAGAATTAACTGGT